GTAATATTTCATTAACATAATATATTTACATAGAAAAAAGACAAAGGGAAAAACACCAAGATGTTAACAGTACCCACCTCTATGTGCTAGATTTCTAGCTGATGGTATTTATTTTCTTTAAATTCTTTGCTACTTTCTAAATGTTCTGCAATGATTACATTTTAGCTATATGATCATTAAAAGTACTAAGGTAAGCATATATAATAATGAATATATGATATTATCACGTTAAGAATATGTACAAAATTTTGTAACAGTAGGTAACAGGTAACACTGTTTTTCACAAGTATGTATTCTTTTGTGATTAAAAAAGCTAACACCAAAACAAAAAAAGTAAGAATACTAAAAAATATTGAGTCATTAAATACTTAATCCATGCATTTTAGAAGAAGGAAAAGTGAATACTGAGGGAAAGAACGTCATCAATGCTGCTTAAAGAAAATACGTCAAATATTTTTTCCTTTAAGGCCCAATTTCTAGCTCTTCTATTTATACTTCCTTTCTTTACTCATGAAAATATATCCATTGTTAAATTTGAAGCTTTTAAAATTAGCTCTGTGAGATGAGGCCAATTTAAGCTTTAAATTCCATTTCCCAGAACTTCACTGAAATATGTTGCTCAAAGGCTCACAGTCCTCCAGCACAGCCTGATGTGTCAGTCAAACACTTTAAATAGATTTGATTGCAGGTTTGGAAAGACTTCTCTGTTCCACTGTATTTAAAGATGTGGATGTTCAATATTTCCCTTTTTCTTTTTCCTGCTTTCTGGTCTTACTTTCTTTGGCATGTTATTCCATTCAACTTTTGGTCTTATAATTCCTCTACATCCAAGATGGACCTGACAAATTCATGATTCATGTAAACAAACATAAATTCTCATGTACACGTACCCTAATATACCTTCAAACATCTGTATTTCAAATGCAACATGACTAATGCAAATTCTATTAAAATTGGTGCAAATATCTTAGGATCACTTAATGGCCATATAGGGGTCATACTCCAAAAAAATAACAACTTTTTTTTTGAGACAGAGTCTCACTCTGTACCCCTGGGTAGAGTGCCATGATGTGAGAGCTCACAGCAACCTCAAACTCTTGGGCTCAAGTAATCCTCTTGCCTCAGCCTCCCAAGTAGCTGGGACTACAGGTGCCCACAATGACACCCAGCTAGTTTTTTTGTTTTTCTATTACTAATAGAGAAGGAGTCTTGCTCTTGCTCAAAATTCCTGAGCTCAAGCAATCCACCTGCCTTGGCCTCCCAGAGTACTAGGATTATAGGCGTAAGTCACCACACATAGCAGAAGAACTAATGACATCAGCAAAGGAGAAAGAGTTCTGGCTCGGCGCCTATGGCTCAGCCGGCTGGGGCGCCAGCCACGTACACCTAAGGTGGCGGGTTTGAATCCCCAGCCCGGACCCGCCAAACAACAATGACGGCTGCAACCAAAAAATGGCCGGGCGTTGTGGCGGGCGCCTGTAGTCCCAGCTACTTGGGAGGCTGAGGCAGGAGACTCGCTTGAGCCCGGGAGTTGGAGGTTGCTGTGAGCTGTAATGCCATGGCACTCTATCCCGGGGGACAGCTTGAGGCTCTGTCTCAAGAAAAAAAAAAAAGAGTTCTGAAATTCCCATGGCTGTATCTATTCCCATATAGTTTTATATATAGCAATATAATGGTGGTTCTCCCCTCACCCTAAACAGTTTTTCTCCTGGTCACATCCTCTCTATGTCCTTCTCTATGCTTCCTTCTTGTACCTCTGAATGTAATGCAGAAGAGTAATTAAAAAAAAAAAAAAAAGAGTAGGAACAACTATAACCAAGCACTCCTAAGAATAAAAAGTAAATTTTTAAACTGACTTTGTTTCAAAGACCCTGGTTTGTCCTCAGAGAACAGTAAGTTATTTAACATTTCAGGGACATGCTAATTTGAAAATCATTTATTAAAACCCAATCTAAGCCTCTTCTTTTTTGTTTTCTCAGTATATTTCATTCTGATGCCAAATTAAGTCTCTTAATCTGATGGCTTATTCAACAGCACAGTAGATAAGAAAACATTTGGGACAAAGAATCAGTTTTGGAAAGTTTTTTTTTTTTATTTTTGAGACAAGAGTCTCACTATGCCACCCTCTGTAGAGTGCTGTGCTGTCACAGCTCACAGCAACCTCAAACTCTTGGGCTCAAGTGATTCTCTTGTCTCAGACTCCCAAGTAGCTGGGACTACAGGCACCCACTACAATTCCTGGCTATTTTTTGGTTGTAGTTGTCATTGTTGTTTGGCAGGCCTGGGCTGGATTTGAACCTGCCAGCTCTGGTGTATGTGGCTGGTGCTCTATCCACTGAGCTACAAGTGCTGAGCCAGTTTTGTAAGGTTTTTCTCTGGTCATTTTGAGAAGAAAAGAGAATGAACGGTAACTCCCCATAGATAATGGGTAGGGCAAATAACAAATTCAGGCTGTACTTGGTTTTATAATAATGAACATAAGGGCTAAAATAATGCCTAATGTATAATAGTTTCCATCAACCCTCCCTGGGACCACAATATTTCATCAATGACTTATTTGCCTGTAACTATAAGAATTAGAAACCTTTTGAGGTGGATCATTTTGGAACTATGCCTTGACAACCATGTCACCCACCTCCATGCTTGCCCACTCTAGCAGATAAGTCTGGGCAGAGTTTGGTGTGAGAGCAACTCTCAGCACCTGTTCTGGTTTTCAGGTCTGCCTAATTCATGAGCCATTCTTTGCTCAAATAAAGTCTGTTAAACTTATTTTGTCTAAAGCCATAATTTAAGCCATGGGGGCAGGGCAAAGCTTCCGTACCTCCTTTACTTCTCTTGGTTGGGACAGAGATGAATAGACTGATATGTCCAGGTGCTGGCACAGGGCAGAGATTGTAAATCTGAATTTACCAGAAATTTTATAAAATGATGTCAGAATTGCCGAAAATGCTAATAAAGAGAAAAAAATCCCTTCTTCCTCTTAAGGCAGAATTCAGCCTTTCAGTTTCAAAACAGAAGTCTAGTCTGCCTCTATTGACACTGAAACATCCAGTTCTTCTCTGGAAGGCTTTTTAATAGGGCTTCTTAGCAGCTTTTTCTTTTCCATGCCTATTATGAATAGGGAGGTGAGGACCTTTATAGGCCAGACGTTAAAGATGTAACTCTGTGCTGGCAGCTGTTGCATAAACCAGTAACACCTGTACATTCAAGAGGTCAAATTTAAGTTTCTGAGTTATAAATGGCCAGAACGATCATAAAAAAACTGGCTGACTAGCTACTTGATTATATTGGAAAAAGCAGATTTTTGTTTTGTGCAGAGTGTATGAGCTTGATCAATATTAATGCAGAATAGCATCCAAAGACATTATTTCCTGGTCTGGAGAATAAAGGAACATTATGTTTTCAATATAGTAGTGTTTACCATTTGCCTACATAATTAATTTGATAGATAACTTATCTGGGAATATGAGGACTGTCCAGAATGTATCCAGCTAGTCGATATAAAAATTAGCATTAACAGTGGCTGAATACTTTCTGGACAGCACTCATATATTTAAAGAGTAGGGTTGGTTAAGGACTGAATGACACAGAGCTGATTTTCATCTTAGTAAAATGGAAAATCCAAACAATTTGTCCAATAAATAGAATGAAATTGTGAAGTTTTCTTTTACTTTCTGTTTTTAAAAAACACTTTTCATTTATGGCTGTAAAAATTCACTATAGGGACGGGCATGGTGACTCATGCTTGTAATCCTAGCACTTTGGGAGGCCAAGACTGGTAGATTGCTTGAGCTCAGCAAGAGACTAGAGACCAGTCTCAGCAATAAACCCCGTCTCTACTAAAAATAGAAAAACTACCCTGGTGCTGTGTGGCAGGGGCTTGTGGTCCCAGCTACTTGGGAGGCTGAGCCAACAGGATAACAGGATCGCTTGAGCCCAAGAATATGAGGTTGCTGTGAACTATGACACCACATTACTCTCTACCCAGAGTGACAGAATGAGACTCTGTATGTATGTATATATATCACTATGTATTATGTTTATATCACTATAAATTTGTTTGGTGAGAAATAATCTAAATTGTATTTTCATGGGCATTGGTAACAGGAACCTGAGAAGTTCATCTCAATGCAGAACGCATAGCACATTGAGCCCTAACAGACTCCTTATAGAGTGAATATTTTGAAACTGCAGAAAAGTAAGCAGCAAGAAGAGCTAAATTCCCAAAAACACGTGTTTAATGTTAACGATATGGAGAAAAATAAAACAATCACTTTATGATTTCTAAGTTTTCATATGCTTTGCAGGACCTGCCTATATGACTTTTACAAGCTGAAAATGACACAATTTCTACTGAATGAAAATGAATATGTCTATTAATTTAACACATAAAAAGCAGCTGAAAGGAGGCACATCCAGTGCCCTTTTGAATGATGGGGAACTTTCACATGACCCTTCTTAGAGAAGTGTGTCAATCCAGATAGCACAGGTAATGACCTGTCATTCAGTGAAAAGAGAAAATCAGAGCCTCAAAGAAAACCCATCTCAACATCTGGAAGTGGGGGGATCTGGTTTTACTAGTATTTTCAGAGAATCAATGAAAATGAAAACAGTTCTCTCTTCCTTTCATTTATAAACCTGAAAGACTGGTTAGTCCAGACTACTCCCTCCTCCTTCCAGGACATTCTTAGGAGGAAAGTTTCCTTTCTACACTTGCCATGTTTACCAAAAAACAACTAAATTCACCCATTCCCATACAGAAAATACTGTAAATAACTGAATTCTATTTCTAAATTGAAACTATTTATAAAGTTTCTTTTTCCAGGAACATGAGTTTTAATTTTTAATGATATCCACTTATACTATTGAATCAAATCTTTGTTAAAATTAAGTTTGTCAATATGTAGTAAAAGCTGTTTGCTACATCATTACTTAAAATTTCAAGACAGAATTTACAGTCTAAAAGAAAGAAAATGAAATCCCAGTATTGTAGAAATTACCTCATCTGATTCTTTCTTTCCTCCTGGGTTGGAAGGTGATCCACTGATTTGCACATTGACATGCTATAAAAACGTAAAAAAAAAAACAAAAAAAAAAACTCAATAAAGATGATACAAGATAATAATGACTTTAAATCCCCAAAGCTAAATGCATAGATTTTAAATGGTAGGGAGTACTTTAATCTTCCTTCTGAGAATGCTGGAAATTCTGTTTTACATTTTTTATTTTTATATGTTAGAGATAGGGTCTTGCTCTCTGTCACCCAGAGTACAGTGGTATGATCATAGCTCCCTGCAGCCTTGAACTCCTGAGCTCAAGCAGTCCTCCAACCTCAGCCTTCTGAGTACCCGGGACTATAGGCATGCCATAAGACCTATGTAATTTTAAAATTTTTTTATAGAGATGTGCTCCTACTATATTGCCTAGCTGGTCTGGGACTCCTGGCCTCAAGTGATCTTCTTTTCTTGGCCTCCCAAAGCACTAGAATTACAGGCATGAGCCACTGTGGCCAGCCTAGAACATTGGTAATTTTACATCACATACAAGGTAGCTTTCAAAAATCAAGAGAGACACAGACATTTGTTTGGGATTCAGAAAGTCAGGATATAATTAACTAGAGGCAGAGCTGATGGTGATACCAAGGTAGCATCTCATCTACAAAATGCATCATGGAGTTTTAAAGCCCACATTTCCAGCATGGTAGACATCTGCTTCATTAAGGAGATGAGATCTCTAAGGGCCATGTTGTGTCTAAAGCCATATTTAAGCCTGAGTTCAGCATGGCTTGGACAGCCTTCCAAGTCACCTGGCCCTTCTGATGGTTCTTGGGAATTCCCCAGCCTTCTTCCAACTGATTATTTACCAATGTAGCCAGATAAAATCCCAAAGGTAAAAATCGTCCTGCAACTTCTACATATTATGGCTTTAAGATTTCTTTATGTCTAGAAATAGGATTATTTTTCTTATTGGGACACTGGGGATAAATGCAAATGTTAAAGTTTTATTTTTAATTGACACATAATAGCAATGAATATTTATGGGGTACAATGTGATGTTTTGTTCTATGCATACACTGAGTTCTGATCAATTCAGGGTAATTACTAAATCTATCACCTCAAACCTTTATAATTTCTTTGTGGTGATAACATTCAAAATTCTCTTTTGTAGTTATTTTGAAATATACAGTACATTATTGTTAACCATAGTCACCCTCCTGTGCAATGGAAAATCCAAACTTACTCCTTCCAACGGTAACTTTGTACCTGTTAACTAACCACTCCTTAATGCAAATATTTTTGCATGGTACCCAAAAACTTCAAGTACTTTACATGTTCATTTGTTATGGAAATAAGATAAAATAAGCCATAAGTTTACTGAGTTTGAGAATTTCTGAAAAATATATGTTCCTGAAAGGTAGTCAAAGAATTATTTTACTTCTTGAATACTCTGGGATGTTCAAAGAGTAGGAAAAGGAGAGAAATATGAGAAAATAAAAGTTTACCATTGAATTCAATCCCCAAAACCCTCAGTTAAACCAAACTACAAAATGCTATTACCTCTCCTAAGGTAGAACTACAACCTGACTATGTAAGTCAACAAAGAGATAATAATCTTATTATCTTAAGGCAATTTCATTTAAAAAGTTCTTATTTAACACACACAAAAGGAGGCTCCTGTGGTTTTATGAGTGAGAAAACTAAGAATAATAGTTATTTGGAGTCTTTCACAAGGATACATATCTAGTAAATGAGAAAATGTCATAAAGTAGTTTTCCTGATTAAAACCTGTTTTTTTGCCATCATACTATGCTAAATGGAATTAGTTGCCTTTCCCTTTAATCATATCAACAGATATGCTACCAAAAATGGCCAAAGAATACCAGAACATGTAGCTGAAATCTTTCCCAAAGTTCTTTATAAGAAGAACTAGCAATAAATCACTTTCATGAGTAAAGCCTTGCTTTACTATATGTCCTAGTCAAGGGTTTGTTTGTCCATAGTTGAGGGCACTAAGCGTTAAATAACATATCTTGAAGAAAGAAAGGAACCATTCATTTTAAAGCCCATTCATCTATCAGAACTAGATGGTGAATGGTAAACTATTAGAATAAATGGAGAACAAAAGCTTTGTAAAAACCAGACTTGGAGGGAAAACATTAGTTATCTTTGTTTAAGTACAGAGGTTATTAAGATGAGATTGTCTCTAGACTCTCTACTCAGGGCCCTTACATAAGCAAACTGAAACTTAACGTAAAGGCATTTTTTTGGTAGGGGGACAAAGTCTCACTCTGTCGCCCTCCATAGAGTGCCCTAGTATCACAGCTCACAGCAACCTCAAACTCTTGGGCTTAAGCAAATTCTCTTGCCTCAGCCTCCCAAGTAGCTGGAACAACAGGTACCCACGACAACACCCGGCTATTACTATTATTTTTGTTGTAGTTGTCATTGTTGTTTAGCTGGGTAGGTTGGAACCCGCTAGCCCTGGTATATGTGGCGGTTGCTCTAACCACTGAGCATAGGCACTGAACCTAAAGGCATTTTTGGTAACTGACTAAACAAAAAACATAAAAAAGTGAGTGCCAGCCAATCACAAACAGCCAGCCGGCTAACTGGTTATACACTAACTACAAACCTTCTGCCAAAACATGCCCAAATAAGGCGAATGCCTGCTGTAGCCAATCACTGATTCCTTCATTTTATTTCCACATTCAGTCTAGACACAGAAAAGCTCCCTGCTCTTGCTGCTGGACAGAGGGAGCCTTGGAATCGCTTTTGGTTTGGAGTACTACCCAATTCATGAACTGTTCTTTGTACGAATAAACTCTGTTAAACTTTTCTGTCTAATTTTTTTCTTTAAACATGTCTAAAAAAAATCATTCAACTTTCAGAGATAGTATTTGATAAGGAAACATGCACAAAGACAGAGGTTCACCAAATCTGCCTCCTTTTAGAAGTGGTAGTTTTAGGAATATGACATCATATCCATTTATTATGTAACTCTAATTTTTTCAGATTAAAGTAAAAAAATACCACTATCGATATCTACTCTTTTACTGAAGTTCACTGTTTTGAGTGCTTTATTTACTTGTCAGAAGCATCATCATTCTGTTTTATAGTAAGAAGACTTAAAAATTCTACTCTCTTGCCCAGTACAAGGCTCCACGCTTGCTACGTGGCCCCACACTCTGCTTCCTGCTAAGTGGCAAATACATATATCATAATTTGTTACCCCACAGTAAATGTACACATACTCTCCTCTCTGTTTAAAATATAGATTATTTCTTTTAAAAAAAATGTTTCCTGATGGTAATTTAAAAGGGATTCCATTGTAGTCCTCTAGATTAAACAACATTATCAGTTACTGGCTTCCATTCAAATGCTCAAAATCCCTCAAAATTATGCAGTTTCCAAATAAGTTTGGGGAGGGGAATATATGTAATGAATGCTTTAAAAAATACTGAGTTATAATTACAACTTAAAACTCTGGTATTTTAAGCATTGCTATTTTGTGATCTCAAAAGAACTATCTGTTCTTAGTAGAAAGCTCTGTTACAAAGTAATGACATAGGCTCGGCGCCTGTGGCTCAACCGGCTAAGGCGCCAGCCACATACACCTAAGATGGCGGGTTCGAATCCCCAGCCCGGGCCCGCCAAACAACAATGATGGCTGCAACCAAAAAATGGCC